CCCGCCCCCAGCCCAGCTCACCTTCGGGGGGCTCTGCCATGGGGGGGCTCAGGCAGTACATGTGGTAGCCCCGGTCGCAGTCGTCACAGAACAGCAGCTGGTCCTGCCGGGGGGGCAGGAAAGGCAGGTCAGTGGGGAGCAGCGACACCAGCCCGGGGGCAGAGGGACGGGGCTAGAGGGGGATGGATGGGAGCAGTGGGAGGGGGGATGCGGGGCTGAAAGGGGTGCAGGGAGTGGGGGACAGGAGGGGTCAGGGCTGGCGGGTGCAGGGAGTGGGGGCCGGGAGGCTCACGTCGTTCTCCGAGGTACCACAGAGGCTGCAGGATTTGCACTCGATGCACTGCCAGCGGTAGGTGCGCACGGCCGCTGTCATGTTCACTGTGAACTGTAGACACGAGGGGTGACCTGCAGGGCACGACAGAGCGGGGAGAGTCGGGGGGGGGTGATGGCCCAGAGCGAGCGATTCTCTCCCCCCCCCCCCACCGGGGTGGGGCCAGGCCAGGCTGAGACCCAGCAAACTCAGGGCACCAGCCACGGGCGCAAAGACCCCCCCAGCCAGGGGCGTCCCAGAGCAGGGCCCAGCCCCTCCTGCAGGGACAGCGCGACCGGACGCCCCGGCTCTGTCCCCCCCGGCCCCGGTGGCGTTACCCGAGCGCCCGCAGTCGGCGCAGGAGATGAGGTCCTCGGGGCAGCCGGTTTTCTTGGCCCCGCCCAGGCAGAAATCACAGTAGCCGTTGGGAATGACGGAGCCGTCCGGAGCTTTCTTAGCTGGAAAACAGCAAGGGGAGGTGGAGATGAAGGGGGTGCAGCAGCCCCCTCCCCCGGCCCTGGGGTGCCCGACGTGGCCTGGTTCCAACGGGGAGGCCCCGGGTTACGCAACAAGCCCCCCACTGCTGCGAGCTTCCTCAGCACAGTGCCCTGGCAGCCTGACACCGCCCCCAGCCGCTGCGGGGATCCGGCTTTGTGCGTTGTGCTCCCCTCTCCGGCTGGGAAGAGCCAGCCCAGCCTTGTCCCCAGGGCCAGCCTCGGAAGAGTCCCAGCCGCGCACGACACGGGCAGCTCCAGGGGGGCGGGGGGGCCGGGAGAGCCACTCTGGCCAGGCCCCCAATCTGAGTTCTCCAAACCGCCCCCAGCAAATGGGATTTGGCTCCCTCGTGTCTGAGATCACAGCCCCCCCCCACCCGCCCCACAGCCCCAGGGGGCGCTGGGCTGCAGGGAGCAGGGCGGAGGGTTCAGCAGGAGGTGGGGGGCACTGCGTGCCGGGGGGTTGGTGGGGGGCGGGGGGCTTGGTGGGGGGCACTGGGGACCGGGGGCATTCTCCCCTGACTGGCCCCGATGCCCCAGTCACTTTCGTCCTCTCCAGGTCATGTTCAAGGCCCCGCACTGGGGGGGGGGGGGCAGGGGCCCCCCCCCCCCCGGGGTTTGGGGGGGTTACCTGTGTGTCTGCGCTGGTTCTCGGGGACCCAGTTCAGTTCTTTGTAAAACTCTGACAGGAACAGCACAAACCAGACAGAGAAGGAGGTTAAACCCAGCCCACCCCCACCCCCCCCCCCCCCCCCCCGGCCCCGGCCCACCCCCCCCCCCCCCCCCCCCCCCCCCCGGGGCCGGCCCGGGCCCCCCCCCCGCCAACAGCCGATGATTGGGGGGAGCCCCCACCCCCACCCAGGCACCCCTGACAAGAGCGTGGGCCCTGGGGGGAGGGGCACTGTCTTATGAGCCCCCAGGGACCTCCGAGGGGGGGCTGGGCATGGAGCACGGGGTAGACTGGGGCCAGGCTGGTTCCCCATCCCGCTGCCCCCCAGGGGGCTGGGCCCCCCCCAACCTCCCCCCCACTGAATTATTAGAACCCAGCCCCCCCCCCGACAGTAACCCGGCCGTGGGGCCCCGCAGGCCACTCCCCTGACCCCCCGACAGTGACCCGGCCGTGGGGCCCCCGGGGCTCACGCTTGTGGTTGTTCTTGCGGTGCAGGGGCAGTGGGTGTCGCTCCGCGTTCTCCTCGCCCTCCTCCTCCGCCAGGTGGGT